TTATAATCAAACTAATAATTTCATTCTAACAATTCTTTATTAAACTTCCTCTCAACTATATATTATGGAAGTTTAACATATTAAACTTCCAGCTCTTCAAATGGTCTGTGACCAAGTTTTCATTTGCTCAATTTCTCATCAGTCAACCAGTAGAATAAACATTTGACATGCACCGATCACTCTCAACTTTAAAAACGTATGCTTTTCCCACTACTCTGATAAGAAGATACTATCTGTGGCTTCACAGGATATGCCAGAATTTACAATTGCCCACGTTGGCTTATTTAAGAGCACACACACACACACACACACGCACACACATTGATTGATTTCTTTTTAAAAAGAGAATTCAGGAGCCACCTTGAGAAGGCTCCCATGAATCCAATCTAGAGTGATCTGAATGTCAAAATAAAGAAGGTTGATAAAAGATTTGAATACATTGGATCACAGAAGGACCCAGGATTCCATCCCTGCAAATCGTGCAAGTAAAAAGTAACTAGAGGAGGCATGATCGATGGATACTGAAATTGCTAGGTAAAAGTTAATGACACACAGGCTAATTCACTTAGCTTCCAAGTCCCTCCTCAGGGCTTACTGGTTAATTGCTAGATAAATAATAATGCCACAGCAGTGGTGTCTGGCGACATCACTTGAAATGGGAGACGCCAGCCTGAGACACACACTGGCAGCATCCATGAGAAGCCATGCTGCACACACAGCTTCTGTCCCAACACCTGCACAGCCCGGACCGAATCGCGGAAGAGCAGACACTTCCGATGGTGTTTTAATTTTACTTTTGAGAAGGGAGCTGAAGGAAAACAACAGGAGAGCGGCGAAAGAACTTAAAACAGAGAGGACACCTCACGTCATGCCTTTCCCACAAGCAGTTTGCAGCACACTGAAGTCTGTGGAAAGAGATCGTGGAGGAGAACCTTCTACTGTGAAAAGTAACTGTTTCACATCTCTGTGAGCACTCATTGCTTACCCTGCTTAATCATTAGGTTGGTTTTTTTTTTAATCATTCGTTTATTCACGCAGTACTGGAGTCTGAACCTAGGGTCTTATGCTTGCCTGGCCCATTTGACTTAATTGCGTTTAAGGATCTCCTCTGCAGTTAGGTTTTGTTTGCATTCAGCCTTGGATCTAAATCCACCACCTGTCCATGCCGCCAGTCTAATCCAACCCCGCCACACCCACCTTGTTTGTTGAAATAGAGTCTCACATCTGGCTTAAATTAGCATCCTTCCAAACTCCGCCTCCCAAGAAGCTAGGATTACAGGCGTGTGCTACCATGCAGAACCAGTAACTTTTTACTGATTTTATGTAGGTATCTATGCGGATTGGCTACCTAATGATCTTCTTTTTTTTTTTTTTAAGATTCTAAGTTTCTGTAACTCTGCTAGGAAACCTAAATTGTAAAAAATTCAAGATTAAAAAAATGTATCCTAATGTCACTAACCCAGCTGTTGCTTTATCTTGAGCAAATCCATTTCAGTTCCATTGTATAAGGATTTTTAGGGGAGTTTTTACCTATTCCTTTAGTAAAAAGTTAGCAACCTCTTATTGAACCAGAATGATTCCCTGCTTTATAGGAAAATCATTCTTATATCTCAAAGAACATAGAATTTTTTTGAACAAAACCATAATGCCTAAATTGACAATCGGCTTTATGTTGTTTCCCAAGAACAAAAAGGCCATTTCCGTAAAAAACAGTTTATATGGCTCACTTACTCTGATTTCTTTAAAATATAAAATAATAGCACAGAATGGAATAGAATCGAGCAAGAAGGTAAAATACAAGGAAGTCAAATAAAATAACTAGCGGTCTACTTGGCGCAAGGACACAGCGTTGGGAGCTGTGGCGTGTTTGACACTCGGCCCCACTGCACGGAATCAAGGCACTCAAGCCAACGCTCCACGCCGCCCACAGCCGTGAGCTGTGAACTGCAGTTCACAGCCTGTCCAGGCCTCCAGGTGTGACACAGTAAGCTCTCTACAAGATATCATGCAGGGCTTCCTAGAGAAATGCCCTGCATCCAGGCACTCTTGCGCATCTCTGCTAAAGCAACTCGTTGTGGAAGTGCTTGGTCATAGTCAAGATTCACTATTCACAGGCTCTGGTACACACTGGGCCCACAGATGCTTTCTATGTTGTTTATTATTATTGCTATTAAAAATGAATAGAGCAAGGGAGAGAAAAGCAGTCAATCTCAAACCACAACCAGGTGGCTGATCTTCTCTCTGTCTAGAAGAACTATTGGAATGGCTGTGTCTACATGTGTTTTTTGTTTTGTTTTGTTTTTGGGGGGTCAATCATGGGATTTGAACTCTGGGCCTGGGTGCTGCCCCTGAGCTCTTCAGCTCAAGGTGAGCGCTCTACCACTGAGCCCCACAGCACCACTTCTGGCTTTCTGGTGGTTTATTGGGGATAAGAGTCTCATGGACTTTCCTGCCGGAGCTGGCTTTGAACTGGGATCCTCAGATCTCAGCCTCCTGAGTACCTGGGATGACAGGCGTGAGCCTTGTGCATTGTGCATTCTGTCTACATTTCCTTGAGTCATAAATCCATTGAGGATACAGCACACTGCGACCACTGGCCCGTGGGCGCCCCTCTAGTTCAAATCCCACAGAGCTGAGACCTTCAGGCCGAAAGCTCGACTGGTGGGAAAATGGAGGAAACTAAAAGAGGAAAGCATAAGAAAGGAGTGAGTTTTAAGACATTCCCTCACGAAAGTTTCGAGATCTTACAGGACCTGAGGTTCTGCCAGTCCTAGGAAATACACTAAGTTCAATATTTGTTTTTTATTTATACTTATACGTATTTTATAAATGTTAACATCTATATATAACCTAATTATATTTACAAATACAACATCTATTCTCAATTATTCTTTTCAAACATCACTTTTGTCTTTGAAATCATACCTTGTAAGTGTTCTGCAGAAAAGACTTCTAAATTAACAATTTATCCACTTTGTTTTGTGAAGAGCTATATAAATGCTCAAATAAGTGAATTTGAATCTCGTGATTAAATATGATTTTTTTATCGAATACAAGGCTGTCAAATAAGCATCTTTGTGAGCTGGGAAGGTGGCTCAGTGGTAGAGCGCTTGCCTTGCATGCATGAGGCCCTGGGTTTGATTCCTCAGCACCACATAAGCAAAAAAATCCAGAAGTTGCGCTGTGGCTCAAGTGGTAGAGTGCTAGCCTTGAGCTGAGGGAACGTGCCCAGGCCCAGAGTTCAGGCCCCACAACCGACAAAAACAAACAAACACAAAAGCATCTTTGTAAGCAGCCAAACACCTGCTTTTAAAGCACCGTTTTCCTAATTTAATAATTACAGAATAGCTCAGTTGAGTAGACTTCCTAAGTGCAACACAAAATAGTAAGGAATATAACATTATCTTAAAGACGACAATTTTTGAAAAGTAACAAAAATGAGAAATCAGGTAACAGGTTTTCCTCATAAACTGTTATTTGCAAAGAATGTTGTCGCATTGTCTTGAAAAGGACACCCTTGAAACATGGCTTCAACATTATTATTTTTGTATTTTTCTAGTAGCACAGTACAATTGGATGAGGAGTTTGTGGTGCTTGCACACATACACATTATACTCCAGATTAAATTCGCCCCATCTGTTACTCTTCCTTAATCTTTCTTAACCGTGATCCTATTCCAATCCTGAGATTCCAGCAGCAATGGAGTTACACTGCCATCTCGTGGCCACTCTCCCACACTGCAGAAACACTGACTGAGAAGTGTCTAAAGGCCTCAAAAAAAATAAACTTCCAGTGTTTTGACATTGAAAGTGGATCTGTGAATGAGTGATAGTGTGTTGCTACAAGGAAAATTACTAAATTTAAATGGTAAGAAAAACATTTCAGATAGAAAAGTATGTGTAAGAGACCCCAAAAATATGGAAGAAAACAGATGTTAAAGAATCAAGTGCTGTTAAAATAAAGGAAGTTAAACATATGGCTGAAAACACATTTTCAAGTAAGTAGCAAAGCAAAAGCAAGCAAGCAAGCAAGCAGGAAGGAAGGAAGGAAGGAAGGAAGGAAGGAAGGAAGGAAGGAAGGAAGGAAGGAACTCTAGCCAGGCACCAGCAGCTGACACCTGTAATCCTATCCAGGAGGCTGAGATCTGAGGCTGGCAGTTGGAAGCCACCCTTGGCAGAAAAGTCCATGAGACTCTTACCTCCAATTAATCACCAAAAACCGGAATTAGAGCGGTGACTCACGTGGTAGAGTACCAGCCTGCACACCAAATCTCAGGGAGCGCCCACAGGCCCTGAGTTCAAGCCCCAGGACCAGTGGAGGGAGGGGAGATGGGAAAGCTCATTCACTGTTTGTGTCCGCTGAGACCTCATGGGCCCCAGGTTGGAATCCATTCCCCTTCCCACAAGTCAGATACAGCCCGCCGCAGCCGTGCACTGATCTCACAGTCCCTGGCCGAGGCAGGCTCTACAGCTTGGAGGCAGAATGTGGGTGCCTCCAATGGGGTCAGGCTCCAGGTAGTCACTTTGCACCCCACTCCCATGGTGGAGGGGTTCCCTGTGGGGGGAATGCCCGAGCCAGGGCCAGTGAAAGGCCTCACGGTGGAAATGACATCGGGAAACTTACACAGAGACCTTTCTAAAGGGTTCATAGGATGCAGAAGGTGCTGAAATGATGAGAGCAAGGGGAATCTTCACGAGGAGAATTTTCTTACCTTGTGTTCGTGATTTTTACTCTACAAGAGAGACCAGTAAACTACCATAGAAGCATGGAAGACAGGAGACCAGCGAGGCCCTCATGGTGTGCTACTACTGTCTGGCCTCATCCCTGAGCCTCTCCACTGAAAACAATCAGCCTCTCTGTGCTCTGATGCCAACCACAGAGGCACACTTCCCCTTCAAACGCTATTGCTCCTTCAGTGTGTGGGTCTCGTTAGAGGACTCGCAGAACACGGCAGCTGTCTAAGGCCTCTTGGGTATTTGCAGACACGGGTGTGTGCTTACCAGACTGTTCATTTTGGAGGAGGAGGAGCTTGCTCTTTGCTTTCTTAAGCTGTTGGCTTCCTCTGTCTTTCCATCTTTGGGCTTCAAAATCATTCTACTTCCCCCAGCCGTTCCTTCTGAGGAGGATCGTAGTCTCCGCTCCACAAACCTCCCTTCGCGGTACGGACTGAGGCTGCTGGCTAGAACTGTCCAAGGAAACACAGACAAAAAAAATACATAAATCATATCAGGGCTGGGAAGGCGGCTCAGTGGTAGAGTGCTTGCCTAGTATGCATGAAGCCCTGGGTTTGATTCCTCAGTGCCACATACACAGAAAAGGCTGGAAGTGGTGCTGTGGCTCAAGTGGTAGAGCGCTAGCCTTGAGTAAAGAAACACAGGGACATTGCCAGGACCTGAGTTCAAGCCCAAGGCCTGGCCAAAAAAAAAATCATATCCGTGTTTAAATAGACCTTTCATAGGGGATATTCATGGAAAACCATAAGAGTCACTCAAAGATTTTCCTCCCAGAGGAAGAGCTTTTCAATGTGCAGTGGTAGTTCAGCCGCCTCAAGCAAGTGAAGCCTTGGGAGCCCCAAGATGGTAAACTCATCCTCGGCTTCTTCGTAGCTCAGAGTAATCACATAAACACACCTTGTTCTGATGTTCCTCCAACTCTCCATGGAATCTGATCATAGCTCACCCCTTCCTTGACTAACATTCTGGACCAAATTCCATTAAGGATTGCTTGGACCGCTTCCTTGACTAACATTCTGGACCAAATTCCATTAAGGATTGCTTGGACCGCTTCCTTGACTAACATTCTGGACCAAATTCCATTAAGGATTGCTTGGACCGCTGCAATACATCCCCAAACTGACTGCCACCTGTCTCCCCAAATCTCTACCACAACCTACTGTGCAGATGATAGCCAGACAACGTACACTGAAACCTAAGGGCTGTCCATCATTCCTTGTTATTCAAATGGCCTGCCAACTTCTTCAGAATATGGATTGTTCCCCATCTGCATGCCAGGGGGCGCCCTGTTCATCTTTCCACCCTCAGCTCCTGTCATACCTGTTTGCTCAATCTTAGGCTACACCAAGCTTGCTGTTGATTCTCTATCACTGTGGGCATGCTCCAGCCCACAGCCTTGGACCCTGACTCTTTGCACTAATATACTTGTGTCAGATAGTTTCAGGGCTCACTCCCTAAGTTCCTTCACCTGTTTGCTATTTCATGTTCCTTTAGGTACCCACCCAGTGCATGGCATTTAAAATGCAAGCTGCAATTCCACTCCTCACTTGTCCACACTTCATTCGACTATACCCTGGTCTTCACAGTGATCAGCATCTGATGCTTGTGTATTTGCAGGTGAATTGTTTCATTATCCCTGGCAGAAGAGAAATTTCCTGAATGTTCATCTGTATGCTATACTGCTAGTACTAAAAAGAGCACTAAAATCGTGATCTTCTATTCTATTTAAGCTAATCTACTGACTTAAGACTTTTGGGTAGAACCTATGAGGTCAACCTATGGTCTTTAACTATCAAAGCCAATAAATAAAAACTAATTCTTTATATATTTTTTACATTATATGTATTTCATAAAAAGTGCTGAATACATTTAGCATTATGGAACTTGATGTGTGTAGCAACTACTTCTTGCGTGAAATAAACATAACTATTTAAAATGTTTCACCACCCACATTATAAAACCCTGATAAGGAAGTAGGACAAATGGAAGACACTATGTGATAAGGTTTCCCCACTGGTATTATTTATCCAAGGACAGGTGGCTTATGTCCAAAATTATTTTAATTGATTAAATGGCTTATAGTTAGGACCTTAGTCAACAGACTAATAATCTCTAACAAAAATGTTAATCATATCCTGGTTTCCAGAATTAGATATAAATGTATAATATTTAATTACACTGGGTGCTGGTGGCTCACACCTGTAATCCTAGCTACTCAAGAGGCTGAGATCTGAAGATTGTGGTTCAAAGCCAGCCTGAGAAAGAAAGTCCATGAGACTCTTAAGATCCAATTAACCACCAAAACACCGAAAGTGGCGCTGTGGCTCACAGCAGTGGAGCACTGAAGGAGCTCAGGTACAGAGCCCAGGCCGAGGTTAACCCCCACCTCCCAGGGGGAAAAAGGTATTGCATTCAATTAGACATTGGAGTAAGTCATCATTACTAAGTAAGAATCTGATATATCAGGATAATTGCGATTCTGCCCTTTCTTTGTGCCATGACTTTTTCTTCTTTTTTTTTTTGCACAGAAAAATAACCTTTTTTCTTTGTTTGATTCATGGTGAAAGAACCAGTTATGGACACAGTATGATAGTTCAGTACCCACATATCATGAGTAATGGCTAACTCAGGCTAATCAGGTGCCATTTCTTTTCAAAACCACCTGCATACCAGGCTGAGGTCCTTCTGCTGCCCAAAGTGTAACTTAGTAATGATATTGTTACTGAACTTCATTAATGAATATGTAGAAAAAAAACTGTGGGAGGATTAAATAAAACAGTGCATTAAATAATTTCATAAAATAGTGCATCAAAGTGTGTGTATGAAAAGGATAGCAATCACTACTTCCTCTCCAGCATCATCCTGTCAGTGACAGTAAGGAAGTGAAGCAGCTACCACGAGGACCAAGCATAGGACCAGGCTACCAAGTTCCCAAAATTGAAAAAAAAAAAAAAAGGGAGGGGGGAAGGAAAGGCTGGCTCAGAACAATGATCCTCAGCAAGTATGCAAAGCATCTGAAGATAGCTACCCAGCAAATTTATATATGTGAAAGTTTAAAAAGCATCATGTTTATGCTGAACAGATTCGTTCATTTATATAATCTCATGGCTCAATATAATCGAGACTTATTTTAATTTTTATTTAATATTTCAGGTAATGTTTAGAGTATAGCCTAGTTCTTAAGAGCCTGAGTATTAGGCTTAGGTAACTTTAACTTGGCTTTGCTGCTTTCTCACTTGCCCGTGTCACCAGACTTGGTTTTTAGTTTGGGAAAATGGGAAACACAAGTCTACCTCTCGGACATTTCATGGACACATCAATTACTTACCAAGTTTGTATATGTTCGCAGACATATGACTTAATGCTCCTCAATTATCTTGCCTATAAAAGAACTTACAATATGTGGTGTGTGTGTGTGTGTGTGTGTGTGTGCACATGCATGTATGTGTGTACGTGCATGTATGTGTGTGTGCATGTGTGCGTGTGTGTGCGTGTGTGTACGTGCATGTATGTGTGTGTGCATGTATGTGTGTACGTGTGTGTACGTGCGTGTATGTGTGTGCGTGCGTGTGTGTGCGTGTGTGCATGTGTGTACGTGCATGTGTGTGTGTGCATGTGTGCATGTGTGTACGTGCATGTGTGTGTGTGTGTGTGTGCGCGCGCATGTGTGTGTGCATGCGTGCGTGCATGCTCATGCACCAGTACTGGAGCCTCATGCTTTTTCACTTAAGTTTTTCACTCACAGCTGGCACTCTACCAACTGAGCCATTGCCTCCCGGCTGTCATTTTTGCTGGTTAATGGGAGACAGAGTCTCATGGACTTTTCTGCCCAAGCTGATGTTTGAATCTCGATCCTATAATCTGAATCTCCTGAATAACTAAGATTACGGCCACTGGTGTCTGGCTAAATAGCTTACAATAGCAATTTCAATCACTCTTAATGACTGCATCTAAAGTACACAGACTGGTTCCTGAGACATCATGGCCATTTCCCCAATATTAAGGACGTTTTAAGCAGTACTAGATGCCCAATAGTAATGGAAAAAATATAAAAATATTGTCTATAACAGTCGAGTAGCTGGCATATATTCAATAACTTCCTTACACTGAATCTCACAATAAATAACAAAGTTTTCAGGAGACAGTTTCTCTCTCTCCCTCCCTCCTTCCCTCCCTCTCTTTCTCCCCCGCCCCTCTCTCCCATCTCTCCCCACTTTCAGAGAGAAAGAATGAGAGAGAGCCAATATTGTAAAGCAAAGAGAATGTTACCAAGGTTACACGGCTATTTAATGTTAAATCCGGGTGCGGAACCAGCCAGATTCTCCAGGCTCCAAGGACTGTGTGTTTTTTTTAAAGCTTGCAAATTCTTTTGTATCTAGAGACCGAGATGATTTATGTGAATCGTGAAGCCTGGTGAACAGTCCAAAGCTTTGTTCACATAGAAAACAGAACTTAGAGCACATGAATTTTTTATAAAGGTTGTGGCTGGAGTCAGTCCATTTAAAAAGAACTAGGGACTATCAATACTTGTATGATAAACTCTGAGAAAGATCGTCCTTATTTTAGACAAAGCCGTCGGGCGAAGAGAATCCACTTTCTTGTGAAGTTAGAAGCCCGTGGACCCAGCAATGAGTAGTGTTCCAGAAATACCCTTCCAAGCAAGGGAAACATTGAAAACAAATAGAAAAAACAATTAAAAGAAGCAGCTAGAAAAAGAAGAATGAAAACCAAAGACCACGTAGTTGGCATTCATGCGATTGAGAACATCGTTTCTGGAGAAGAGTTCACAGGGCGCGTGCATTCCCGCAGGACAACGAACCTACCTTTCGCAGCGTTGGCTTCGCAGCCGTGGGGCGCGCGGTGGCGCAGCTGCGCATCACCAGATGTGGGTATGCTCCTGGAATCTGAGACGGGGTGAGACCCTTTCCCTCGCTCTGCCAGGCTTTTCTGTGGGTCACACACCCAGCCCAGGAGCTTGGGGGAGCTGGTCCTGAGCAGTGGTTCCCCATTTTGTACAACCACCAGGTCTTCTTCCCTTGGGGCCGGGGCAGGTCGGGGAGGCGCGGGTCCCCTGCCTGGGGTCGCAGGTGCATGCAGGAACGCTTCTTTCTGCACAGCAGCAGCTAGGTCGGGGGCAGGATGAGCGTCTGTGCTCCATCGACCTTCGAGCCGGCACTTCCCGGGTCTGAGGTCGCTGATGGTCCTTGTAGCAGCAACAGGAGCAGCGGCTGCGGAGCAGGGGTGAGAGGTAGAATCCTGATGCGCGCAGGGCGCATCGCTGGGGGACGCCACGCAGCACCCACCCTTGGGAAGCGCGTCGGCCTCGGACGCCGAGTCTTCCGTGCAGAACTCCGATGGGGTCTGCGCCGTGGTGGTCAGGTCAGTGGAAAGCAGGGGAGAGGGCAGCTCGCCCCCTGCAGCCTCGGGAGCTCCGGCCTCCACTGGAGAGGCTGGGCCCGGGCCAGGCTGGGGGGCTGGAGGCTGGACGATTTCCAGGGAGAAGTCCGACGTGGGTGCCGCCGTCTGGGGCCCGGCCTTGGAGAACCTGGAGTGGGAGGAAAAGGACTTGGGGAGGAGCTTCCGGGTGGCCGACAGCTTGGGGGGCCGGGGGGCCGGGTCGTCGGCGAACCCCGAGTCGTCGCCCTCGCTGGGGCCCGCGCTGAGACAGTGGATGAAGACGCTCTTGTTGCTGCTGCTGGACGGCGGCTCCCTCTCGAAGTCCTCTGTGCGCGATCTGGTTATCTTCTTATGATGGCGGGACCCGCCCAGCCCCCCCGGGCGTCTCCCCCGGGCCTCGGGGGGTTCTTCCCCACCCGGGGTGCGGACGTGGGCCCCCGCCGCGGGGTGAGCGCCATTGGACGTGAGGCTGAGGCCGGGCTTGGGCTCGCTGCTGCTGCTGGCCTTCTTGTGGTGGAAGCTGATGGACGGGGCGCGGAAGAGGCTCCTGCGCTTGCCGGTGCTGCCCGAGCTGGAGTTGGTGCTGGACGGGGAGGAGCTGTGCACGCCCCCCGACGAAGCCGCCGCCGGCGTCTGGCTGGAGGAAGGCGAAGATGGCAGGGAATCATGTCTGCGGCTGATGCTTTTGCGGAAAATCGGCAATCGAGACACCAGCGTGGAGCGTCGGGATCCAGAGTCCCCCATCGGGGCGCGCCAGCTTGCGGGGTGACAGCTCACTTAGCAGCCTGCAAAACACACACACAGACACGCAGAGAAAAGGACACGTTAATAACGACAAGGTAATAACGAAATGGTGCTTCTCCGTGAGGCTGATAACGACCATAAAACACATACGGAGATTCTGTTCCTGGAAGGAGTTCTGGGATGTATCCATCCAGGGGGAATACACCAACGGTTTTGTCCACAAGCTCTGGATGAATTCAACTCCCCACCACCACCACCCCAAAGGGTTCCATCCATTTGGGGGGCTGTTAGGGTGGGAAACACAAGCTCCAGATGGGAAATCCCGTCTTGCAGACACTGAGCTGTCCGTGGCACTTTGGTGAGTTGTTTAGCCTGGATATCTACGTGTGCACAGGACAGCCATGGCCACAGGGGAAGGTGTGCCAGCTTGCCCGAGGAGCAGCGCACAGACATGCTTTCCAATCAGTGACTCAACAAGTTAACGTGAGCGGAAGAGAATCACAGCCAGACCCTAGCATGAGCAGCCACCGAAATCTCCACTGAAAGAAAAACCCATCGGGACAAATGTGTGTCCTTGTATTTGACAAAGACTGGTTTCAGACCATCTGACAGGAACTCACAAAGGGTACAGTGCCGTTTACAAACGAACCTACAAGTCAGCCACAGCTAGGAGTTGAAATGACTTCAATGGAATCTAACTCGATTGGTAATCTTGAGAGAAGTCGGTATGTTCTCTCAGAGAATCAGAAACATAGAAAATGTAAGGACCATATAAACGTCCATTGGAGGAGGAGGAGGAGGAGGAGGAGGAAGAGGAGGAGGAGGGAGGGGGAAAGAGGAGGAGGAGGGGGGGAAGAAGAGAAGAAGAAGAAAGGAAGAAGAAGAAGAAGAAGAAGAAGAAGAAGAAGAAGAAGAAGAAGAAGAAGAAGAAGAAGAAGAAGAAGAAGAAGAAGAAGAAGAAGAAGAAGAAGAAGAAGAAGAAGAAAGGAAGGCAACAGGGAAGGGGTGGAAGGGGGCAGATTCCCTTCGCCCACTTTGCTGTTCCTTGTACTTCCCACAGATTTTCTCCATTATCGCTTATAGCTCCACAAGGAGGTCATATGACTGTGGACATTTCATAGCAAAACGAAAAGTACATTGCCTGTGTCACTAGGTAACAAGAAGTTAAGCAGGAAGCAGAGATTAAGCATGCCCTATTCCAAGGCCAGCTAGTCATCAGTGTAGCAAACACCGAATTTCACTGGAGCAAAGAACCCAGGCCTGTCAGCTAGGAGCTCAGCCAAGAGATGAGCAGTGGTAATGACCAATCTGTACGCTGTCTGCATCTTCAGGCTTGACCTCATTGCAGTCTATCTAAAAGTGAGACTTAACCTTCCTGTGCTGGCTTATTTCACTGAGTAGAATGTTCACGTTCATCTAACTTGTTGCAAAAGACAGCATTCCATTCTTTAAGACTACCAATCCTTTGTGTGGATCTACAGCCACACTTGATCGCTGGTAGACTTTTAAGCTTTGTATCCTGGCAATTGTGAAAATGCTACATCGAACCTTGAAGAGGAGATATTTCCTTGGCATACAGACTTCAGTTCCCTTGGCTACATACCAAACTGGAATGACTAGACCATGTGCTAATTCTAATTTTACTTTTCTGAGGAGTTTCCATACTGTTCTCCATAATGGCTGTACCAATTCACATTTGCGCCCACAGCGTGTATGCGTTCACTCTTCTCCACGTGAAATTTAGTTAAAATCAAACAACACGCGATCCCAATTCCAAAATGCTCCAAATTTCTTTTGAGGCTGTAACTGACGAAAACTTAAAATGCAAACAGAGACATTGCAGTTCTTGGATCATTGAACTCACAGCTTAGATTTTCCAAAGTAGATACAACGAATAATACATTTTTATGAGTTGGCTCTAAGTGTTTTAATTAACATTCTTCTCAGTTATGGCTTTATTTTCTTTCATATGTTACGTTTACTTCCATTTAATGCCTTCTGTAGGAATTGGCCCTAAATTGAACATTATCAACCATAACTTTCAACTGGTTGGAAACCTGTAGAGTTCAGTGCATTAACAGTAAACTATTAAATATCACTACTGAAATCTCTTCAAATCTTATGAATACTGAAATATTTCTTAGCCTCTTTTGAAAATATTTATTGCATTGAAAAAAGTACCAAAAATGAAGAATAATACAGTTTTGTATTTCCTCAGCAAGTATTCAAATAGTTTAAGGAAAATTTTCAGAAAAAAATCCAGTCACTACTCTCTTCTCTTACATACTTAATGAAAACATCAAGACTTCCACTATGTGTGCATAATATATTTGCCACTGGTGTTTATCCTGACTTCTTTTTTCCCTCCTCCTCCTCCTCCTCCTCCTCCTCTTCCTCCTCCTCCTCCTTCTTTCTCCTCTTCCTCTTCCACCTCCTCCTCCTCTTCCTCTTCCTCTTCTCCTTCATTGTATTTTGGTACCCAACCTGGGGCTTGAACCCAGAGCCTAGGAGCTGTCCCTGACTTTCTTTTGTTCAAAGCTAGCATTCTATCCCTTGAGTCACAACTGCACAGGGCTTTTAAACATTTTTTTGGGTAGTTTATTAGAGATACAAGTCTCATGAACTTTTTTGGTCAGGCTGGTTTTGAGCTGCAATTCTCACATTTCAGCCTCCTAAGTAGCAAGAATTGAAGGCAGGAGCCATCAATGCCTGGATATCTTGATTTCTGTAAATAGAAGCATCACAGATTCTAAAGGACATGATCATGTTGAGTGAGCTGAGCTAAAGTAGGTATAAAATTTATTAAAAACAAAAATCATTTTGAATTTCACTGTTCATTTATGACTAACTCTTACTTCTCATTGGAAAGGAGTGAGCAACAGAAACATAAAATATCTACAGGTTGTAATTTTCTCTGATTTACAAAGGCGCTTCAGGGCCTGGGCAACTCTCTGAACATCCAGATGCATTACTTTCCCCCTCACACTTTATTTTTTTTATTGTGAAAATACTGTACAGAGGGGTTACAATTACATGGGCAAGATAATAAGTACATTTCTCATCAAGCATTGTAGCCTCCTCCTTTATTTCCCCTTCCCATCCTCCTCCCACCCCCTGACCCAATCCTCCCCGTTCCCCCCCCCAATGACATAAGAACAAAGCAAGTTCACTATTGTGTTCTTCTAAGTTTGTATTTTGTTTGGATTTAAAAACAAGTGAAGTTAAAACAAGTAATTGAGAGAGCTGAAGTGTTGGTGAGGAATGTTGCATAAATCTGTTGGCAGCCTGCTTCTTCTTCTGAAAAGTTTTCAGAAAATAACCAGAGTGAGGCTAAATGATCTATTACAAAGAAAATCTTCCCTGATCCATGAAGACAATGAACAGAAAGCAAAGGTTATCTCCATCACAGTTATTGGCATGAAGAAAATCAGGAGTAGTTGACATAAACCATATGCAAGCGTAACAAAGGAAATTGATCAAATTTCAACAGAATTAAATAGCATCAAAGCACCTCAAAATTCCCACTCAACTTTATCTCATTACGTCAAGTGCCAAATGGAAATGAGGTTTTACATGTGTCCAATTCTTGTGTTGCACCTGCCCAAGCCAGACAAATGCCACTTATACCTACAGTTTCTTTGACTTAGATTTCGCTTGTTATGTGCATTTAAATTCAGTACTAAAATGCTTTATCCTCCTCCCTTGAATGGATGGGGAGATGATGGCAGCATTTTTGTAAAGATAAATCATTCCCACAAGATGGTGAGGGTCGCTTGCGCCAGTGCGGTCAGTAGGAACAGCTTGGGGTGCTTTGAAGGATGACTGACCAGGGTGAAGCAGGTGATCCATCATAGGGAAGGAAGCCACACTGCCAGCCCAAGCAAGAAGAAAGCAGAAATCATCTCCCAGGCTTGTGCAAACCTTAGGCACAGCAGACATACCCATCTGTTATCAACAAATAAGCATAAAGATCCAAGTAATTGCTTGTATAAGAGTATCTGCTTTTGGGTGGCCCCCCGAAAAATTAGATTCACCCTACAGATGTCATGAACACCAAGACAGATGACACCATTCAATTTGCATAAACTAATCTTATAGTTAAAGTGGCTCAACGTTACCTTTTTTAAGTAACAGGAACAATTAGTAGAAAAAGAGAGTACACTTGAAAGAAGTTGTTCTAACCACATTTCTTTCATTTGAATTAATCGAGGCTAGGGCTGTGGTACACATTTAGAAATAAATGAGATCTTTGGCCATATATGATCTTTGTTCTTTATTTTTCCCAATTAGACAATAGAAGTAGAATACAAAAGAAAGGAAAGGAAAGGAAAGAAAGGAAAGGAAAGAAAAGAAAAGGAAGACAGGAAAGAAAGGAAGAAAGGAAAAAGAAAGAAAACATTAATTCTGGCTGGAAATAAGAAAGAAATTACTTGTGAAAGAAGCAAGAAATGTAGAAGTTATATGTACACACAAACCAGATTTAGGCAAAGAATAAGAAGACATTTGTGTTTAAAGAATGCTACAGTTCATGTTCTAAGATTCACACACATGCATGGAGAATTATAGGTTTCAATCCAGAATTTAGCGTAGTGTTAATAAGTCATTGAGTCTCTCCCTGGTCATCAAACAGCAGTTGCCTTGAAGAAATATTGTGAGGAACAGATAGATAAATGAAGTGCAGCTCAGTAACTGAAAGTAGTTGGTCATGATCAGTTAATCAGGTTTGGGCTTGCTCATTGCTATTCACTGTCGCACAGCAGATTCCCTTTCTTCCAGTTCATGACGTGCTTCAATCCCTTCATCGAAAATCCTAATTCTGTCTACAACTCAGCTGGGAAGTCCTGCCGTTTTTCTGGGCTAATCTCAAACAACACAAAGGATATCAGAGGCCACAGGACCCACCGGGCTTAGGTGAATCCCACTTCTTATGTATCACTGAAAAAAAATGGCTACACACATTTTTTTTTGAAACTTGCCTCTTACCAAAACAGGTAAAGCTTCTCTGACCTGACATATTCAGGACCAGAATTTTTTTTCTAAT